TAGTAGAACCCCCTACTGAATGGTCGCGGTACGATCCCTTTCCTCGGTATGGCTGACTTTGAACTTTGCGCCTAATACTACCATTGTGGTGAAGCACCCTTTCTTGAGCGGCAGATACCCCTTTTTATACAACAGTAACATTATTTGAAGTGAAATATTTTAGAAACGGAAAATCGCATTATAGAGCCCTGGGATCACAGCTTTGTGATTGCACTGAACCTCCTCTGCATCTTCCCTAGTTAGACAAATATCTCTAGAGATTCTGTTCGACTCCCACCTGGTGCACGACTTTTGTCCACAACTCAGCATTCTTATCTCTAGAGTTTTGTCCTCTCCCAGCGACCAAATACACTCCCAACGTGATTCTCCCGACGATGCTGTACCCAGCTCATCAATCCGCTACACTATTGCGTGCCCCTCTCCATAAGAACTTTTCAGGCAAAGCATTCAGAAGGTTTACAGATCTCCTAGAAATTGCAACCCTAAATCTACCAACTACTGGATACCTAGCAGGAGCTCCTCTCACAAGTAGAACAAGGCAGAACGACAGATTAAATTCCAGGGGAAACTCGTTCTTTCCGATATTTTTCTAGTGTTTTTTCTATTCTTTCTTCCATACATACATTTCATATCTCGCAGATGGAGAGAGCGTGTCCAGGGACATCTATATGAGCGTAGCGGCATTCATTCAGCTCCAAATCGGAGAGAGAGAAGCAGATAGCGTACGCATAAGGAGAGCACAGACAGCACAAGAAGATCTTTTTACACCTGTACTTCAACCGCCGAACACTCTCAGATATGCAGCCGACGCTGTACTTCAATGAACACGCACACGCCATCTCCATCTCTGCGATAATATGGGCATACTTACCTAGGCTAGCCATGATTTCCTCGAGGCTGGGTTGTAAGGATAAGAGGCCAGGCTGCATGATGTCCGCGTTTCCACTTTGACCTAAACATGACAGATCTATGTAGATTGACCGTCCTTTTATCTACTGCCTCTGGGTCACAAATGATCATGTGAACCTCACCAAATTCTTTAGGGTTTGGGAACATGTACGGCTGACTCAGGGATTCGAACAGACTGTCTGTAAAAACGTTCTCCAAGTCATCGAAATCACAGCAATCCGTTGACATATGTTTTGGAGTCTGACTTCTCTGTTCACGTTTCGCAGGACGTTCGTAAAGCTCGCGATCGAATCGCTCACTCTGTCCTTCGGAATACGTCTGAAATCATCACAGATGAATTCGTGATTAAAATGTATGAGCAGACCAGATTATTGATCAACACATGATTATTGATCGGCGAGTTGAGGGTACTTACTCTCTTCCGCTTTACAGGTTTCTCATGCTGCGTTCTTCTGTTCTTCATGTAATACCTCCATTTTTTATACTGAGCACCTACAGCCTCCATCCTTCGCTTCCAATACATTCCCTCCAGAACGCTGCCCTGAAGAAGGCCAGAGATAAGAACACAGCTGTTGATCAAGGCGAATAAGTATTAAAAACACACTTCGATTTTTGAATGAGTTGCATCATCGTCAGGTACTGTGAAGTAACAAAACGGGGTTTTCTTCTTCGATTTTTTAGTAGGCATTCGAACTGAATAATTCAGAATAATATTAATAAGATCTGTCAAAAAGCATGCCGAAACTTACACTCGATATAGTACGCTCGCCAAATCACATTATTCAAACGAATACGTTGTTTCCAGTGTAATCGAAGGCCTTTGAAATCCTTCCATTTTGGTGTCGTCATTTTACTAAAAATCATTTTGAAAGTTTTTTTTGGGATTACGCTACGTAACAGCCTCATTCCTACCCAAATCTTTTCACAGAAAAGGGGCACCAGAAAATCTACTAGAAGCTTCAAAAGGTCCAGGAATTTCTGGACATACTTTCACTTCAAGAATCACCAAGAAGAAAACTTACTTGTAAGCCACTTTAATGCATTTGTTCAGCTTGTTCAGGGAAACATCTATTGCAATTGATTGCGTCTTCTTCGGCCCAAATTTGTAGAACGTGACCGGCTTCTCATACTAAAACAACATCTGAGAAATTCTGAAACAGTAACAGGAAGCATGAAGTTCGCATTTTCAAAATAAAGGGCTTCCTTAAT